GTTGACGTCCCGGTGCCGGTCTGCGTCGCTTGTCTGGTGCAACAGCCCAACAGAAGAAGCTCATGGGGCTCTCCACGAACCAACTAGAAGCATTTACAATCCATCTCACCTGGCAGTCAAACGCGGCACTGTCTTCTTGGGCACCTGCCTGGCCGCGGATAGCGCAGCAGCGTCCGCAGCACTGGGCGGCAGCGCTCGTCCAAAAGCGTTGAGGTCACCTCCCCTCGGTGCGCCTGCGCGTCCCACTCCTTCCCACTTGGGCGTGGGAAGATGTGGCCAATCAAAAGACTATGTTGACACATGCCCATATCGTGTGACTTTGGTCATTCCAGCTCTAACCGAGCGCACCAAGGACGCTCCAGCCCCATGCCTTCTCCAAGAGGTAGCCTCCGTAGTAGCGGGGCTCAATGCCCGGCATCTCCACATTGAGGCCAGCACTCAACGCCTATGCACCGCCCCGACCCAAAGGCGTTGTCAGGTCTTGAAGCTGACTCAAGCGAGGCTGCTGGAACGCCGAAGCAAGCCAGAACGTCGCAGTGTGGCAAACGGAAGGAATACAAAGGCTGCTGAGAAAGCTGCTCACATCACTAATCAACAAAGCAGCTCTCAGGCACGTGTACCAGACAAACAAAGCATCGCGTTTCCTCGGAGGTGCAGAAATAACTGGCGACAACTATTGGCATGCGTATCAAAATGAGAAGCAAGCTGACAGAGACCAACCGTCTCAAGGCTGGGTCGTCGAAAAACTCTGGGCGAAAGGGCAACCTTCCAGAAGGGCAGGCTCTAATTTTGGAACCACCTCAAAACCAGCACGCAAACCGCAAACCCCCCTAAAAAGTGCTTTTATAAATATCACGCCTCCAGTCACCAAACCCACAAAAGAATGCCACACGCGCCTCCAAAGTGGTGCGGTTCGCCCACCAGTCAGAGACCACAAGGCCGGTGAAGCCCCAGTTGTTCCGGAGCGTCTCCTGCCATGGGTTGTTTGCAGCGTCCAAAACAGGGGCGCTCAAAATGAGTGGCTTGCCTTTGAGGCAGTATGGCAAAGTTCGGCATGTCGGACCGCAGGTTCCATTGCCTCAATTCCTCACTAAACAAATATGGTGCTCCACAATTCGCACTACCACTTGCAATGAAGTATGTACCCTGCCAAAGACCAAGCACGGCCAATGATCACACAAAGTTGGGACACCCAGACCGCTGCCAGTGCAGCGTCCTTCCTAGCACGAAGAGAACATAGCGGAGGCACACTGCGTCTCACACGCTCTGTCACAAGAGACTGAGGCCAGTCCTGCAAAAGCTTGTGATTCTCTGCACAGTAGGTGCCATTGAGTCTATTGTAGCCCGGCCTGAGTGCAATCAACCCAAGTCATCAAGCAGCAAACACCTACATGAACTTACATGAGTCATGATCTCAACAATTGGCCATGGTTGTATATCGCTTCACAAGTATTGCGCTTGGACTCATAACAACGTCAGAGACTCCTTAGACTCCTTTGTTGAAGCCAGGCGCATCACCGCCTGAACGTCCGCCTCCCGCACGGCAGCCTCAAAGGGCGCCAGGTACACCTCATGGAGCACCCGCTGAGGGATGACGGAATTGGAGTGCCCGCGGTCCTCATAGCCGCGGCATGGAGACATACGGTGCGCTGAGAGATGAGAACACTGCTTTGGCAGGTTGGAACTTGCGCATACGTCCCAGGCACAAGGCTTTCCAGGAAGCGCTGGACACACAAGGCGACATGAATTCGGAAAGCGTCCAGACTGCGAAGGTGCTGGCCAAGTGTCTGCCTCCTGATCGTTGCCCACCAAATGCTTCCTGGGCTTTGTTTGCTGTCTGCTGTCTCGTTGCATTGGCAATCGCCATGCATTGGCCAACAAAAGTAGGTTGCCCTGAGAATCTTCGCCTCCCTCCCCCCCAACCCCACCCCCGCTGGCTCGCCACCGGTTGCTCTCAGCTCTGGCCGGGCCACACACACGCGGCCGAATACTTCTGCACCCCTCGTACAAAAGCCACGGCAGCTCGGGAGGTGAGGTGTGGGTCCTGCACACCAGGGCCAACAGAAAAGGTCGCTTGCAAAAATGACGCCACTTTCAACTAATGCGCACCAGCATGAAACTGGTGCCTGGAAGAATCAGCCTGTATTTGTGGCAACCTCGTGTGATGCTTCTTGGAACAATGAGAAGAGAATCCAGAAGAAGTCAAAGACTGACTTAGACATCTCTCCACTTGGCTTCTCAACATGGTCACTGCATGTCGGACTTTGAAAAATTGCACTGCACAAGTCTCGGATGCACTTGCTGGCCCAGAGCATCGCATGATCCTCTCAGCGGCTAAAAGCACTGTTCTCCTCCGAAAAGCATTCGAAGTGTCTGCCAGTGATAGGAGACCTGGCGACTCCGCGTGACATCAAGGCTCATGTTCCTGGCCGTACGCTGAGTACTTTTCTTTGCAACATCCTCGAAGCCAATGGCCAGGGGAGATGAAACCGACTGCAGATTCAATCGCTGAGCTCCGATGGCCTGTGAATGTTCACCGTAGGCCCCAACAGCACGTTGGCGCCACGCGCCACGCACTCCTGGCCCAAGATCTCCCCCACAGCGGTGATGACCTCCTGACACAAGAGGACCGGAACCCTTCGCCTCAACCCATTGGGATCTTTTGGAAATCTTCAGCCTTGAGGAGCGAGTCACCGAGCAATCCACGTCCAAACGCAGCCCGAGTCCTCGTTGAAGGTGGCCGCCAGCGCTGAGAGGCACCTGCCAGCTCAGCCAGTGCTGAGATGATTCAATGCTCAATGAATCGGGGGCTGACGGCCCGGCAGCATAGTGAAACCTACCTAGTCACTTAGTCCTGAGTCTCCGTAAGCTTAACCCATCAAAGCACCCTCCGTACCCTGGTTCAAGCCGGAACCCTGCGAACTCACAGGCCGGGTCCCCAGGCGGCGCCAGAGCAGCGCCGTTGGACCCGTGCAGGCCGTTCCCCCGGGCACCGTGGGGGCCGTCGGAGAACCGCAGCGGCGGCAACTTCAGGCGCTTTACCCCACCAGCCTCGGAACGACTTTGGATCTCAGGTTCTTGATCATTTGCCGCGGGGCAAAAGAATGTGGGCGAGGACAGTGTCATCTTGCCAAACAACTCTGCCAACAAGAGAACAGGAAGCTGATTCACCGGAACAAGGTGAATCAGCATGGGCCAAATGGCGGAGGAACAAAAATCAGCCCGCCATCGTGTGCCAGGTCTACAGTCTTCCAGCCGGAAAAGGGGGGGGCTTGACGGACATTCAGGTGCCCGTCGGTCCAAGTCGACAAGTCAGGGCTCGGCTGATGTTTTGGTCGCATGCAGTTGGTCTTGAACTGAACGGACAAAACCTAAGTCAAAATGGAGCTTGAGATTACTTACCTCCCGAATAATGAACTTGTTCTTGACAAAATCGGATTGCTACCAATGGGTTGCTTCAATCTGGCTGGGAGTCAACAAACCTGTCACCCCACTTGTTTGCTGCATGGTACCCTTCTGCCGGGTCCGTAGCAGTGTCACTAGCACCACAGGATCACCAAGGGTGCCAGTTGCAATCCAGGCATGAAATCTGGCCCTCTTCCAAGTCATCCGGCTTCACAATGTGACGAAGCTCATTGTCAAACGAAACAGCCCCCGACTGCTCTGGGGGTTGTGCAAAGAGATGCTGTCCCTTGACCCCTTGCACCCTCCAGCCTCCCACATGTTGTTGCCGCTCAAGAGTGCCACCTGGATGCACGGCCAGCACACTCTCCCACTCTTTCCTGGAAACGGTTAGCACGTTGTTGGTCGCCTCAGTTGACTTTCCCACAAACAATCATCGACAAATGGCATATCGGATCTGATAACCTGACAATCAGACCTTCCGTCTCAAGTCGGAAGCCACATCAGTTGCTGCCTTCTCTTCCACCGTCATTTCTCGAAGCATTTGCTCTGCTTCCTCATGGTGAAGCAGCGACTCCTGCAAAGCCGCATGCCACTGCTTCAATCGCTGCGCCGTGCTCTACGCAACGTGTCACTTGCTGCGTCTTGTTACGCTCCGCTTGATAGTAAAAAGTGAGGTGATCAAACATACCGCTTGTTGGAAAAGCACCTGAGAAACTGCAAAAGCAGGATGAAACACATTACAACAGAGAGTTATCAGAGAAAGTTGCAGCGCGCGAATCTTTCAAGTCGGGCGCAACCTTCCCAAAATTGACCATGCGCTGCCAGTCGCCAGTCTCCTTCTCTAGCTCCTGACCCAAGCTGCGCATCTCGGTGGCAGACATGGCCCTGGATACTTGGAGAAGCCGACGAGGGGCCAGCATGAAAAGTGGCGAGATCTGGGTGGCTGGCGGTACAAGCGCCGCTGGCTTTTGTTCTAAGTCGACTGGATGCCAGCTGACTGCGGTTTCTCAGGGATGTGCTTGAAGTGTCTTTATGATTTGAGTTTGTGTTGCTCTTACATGGCATCACAGTCTTCCTGGGCCACATGGCTGCGCCAAACAGTCACCAGGCTTGCGTAATTGCGAAGACCTCTGTGCAGAGCCAGTAAGGGCAAATACTGGACTCCTTGCCCACCCAGCTTGACTCTTATCCTCGGTTTCAGCTGCTGGATCTGCATTCCGGACTTTCTTGTATTGTGCTGAGCTCCGTTCTGTCCTTAATAAAGTTCTTCCATGTTCGAGGCGACCCCCTTCGGCCAAGGGCTTAATACCATTCATGAAGCTTGCAAGCGTAACGATACATTCTTTTAGTGTCCATGCACAAATGTAGGGCGATGTGACGTGCAACCAGACGTGAATTCTTCCTTAGAAGCCGTCCACAACCAGAGCAATGCATCCAACCTGCATGTTGCCCTGGGCTGTTGCCAAGAGGTCAGAACAAGCTTTCCAACCAAAAGCCATGTGAGCAAAACAAAGAATGTGTTAAGCCAGTTTGCCAACAGTGGCCGTGGCCGACTTCGCCTGTCCCATGTGCTGATCACCTTGTCAACTGTGCGCCTGCCCCTTGCGCCAGTAGGGCTTGAAGCCGCGCTCCCGGAATTCCTGAGGATGGAATCACCAAGGGAAAAAATCTTTCGAGCAAAGGTTTTCGTTGCTCGAAAGCTGTACTGCTCGCATCTGCTCATACCCTTGTCTGCCATTCGAGCCAATCCCCAGGCCTGGCCTTGTAGCCCATCTCTGTTTCCTCCACGTCACCAGCCGTCTCCTCGTAGCTGCTTTGAAACCTCGCTTGAAACTCAAGCGCTACAAAGCAAAGGAGTCAGAAGGAGTTTAAAAGCCCGATGCTCTTCCTACCAAAGGTCGTGCACTGCCTGCGAACTTTTTCCTACCAAAGGTCGTGCACTGCCTGTCCCCTGTTCGGCGAGGCGCTTCTCAAGGGAAAGGACGTACAGCTCGTGGTCCGCGGATTCCTCCCAGAAGGCAGGGCAAGACACGGCAGAGGAAGCACTGCCTAGAGTGGTGCAACCCAAAGGGCACGACACAGCCCGTGTTCACGATAAACTAAAGCTGGCATTGCATAATGACACTGCGCGCTATGGCCAGACCCGCAGCGAGCAGCTACACTTAGGATCCGACAGTGTGTCAGTACAAAGCGACCCTCTCTGCAACTGTCTCATCGTGGCATTGATTGCAATGGCTCTGACTTTCACGTAGTGCACGCCAGGGCTGTACTAATTTCTGGGCATGTCATATCTCAATAAGCAACAAGCGAGTGCCGTCTTAATGGGGTGGGAAAGTCATCTCGTGCATTTACTGCTTGCAAGCAAGTATCATGCAACAGCAATTATGAGAAAGCCAATTGTGTTGGCCCGGCATGCTTTGCGAGTGGAAACATCCAAAGGCACTCCCAATCCAGTGAGTCTGCACGGCTGTGATCACGCACACCAGCTTGTGACTTCTGTGAGACAGACAAACAGAATTGCTAGCGGATGTGGCCGGGGGATGCACTGACAACACAAAATGAAAACCAAACCGCAGCATTTGCAAAGCTGAGTTGCAGCTAGCCGCTAGCCAGTCGTCCAGATCAGCCTTGTCATTCCGAATCAGTGCGCATCCCTATGTACAAAGCCACATTAGTGCCTTGTAAAGAAAGCGACAAGGAGTTCTCATCCTGAAGCTAAAGCTAAAACAAATGATACCGAAACTACGGCAGGGATCTCAATTTCTTTGGTGCACACGTATGCGTGTCAAGGACTCTCCGCAATCTTCCATATGCAGCTCCTCGGCTGCGGGAGTGTGCTTGCATACGGCACATGGACTCGCTTCCCGTACATCTTGCCCAGTAAGTTCTGCCAGGCATCGCTTTGCCAATGTCGCTCTTAGCCCGCATGTGAGCCTGCCACTGTCGCTATCGCCGACGTGCAGGCATAATTGTGTAGCAAGTTGCAATGTTGGCTGGCATAAACTTCACGCCAAACTCGCCAAACAGAGAAAAAGGTGCGAGTGGATCAGCCAGCAGACTCACTGCGGAGTATTCTGTCTGGGCAAAAATGAAACCCTAGAGCTATTCAAACATGCTGCATTCAGCAATGAACATCCAGGAAGTCTGAAAAATATGAAGTTAAAGCAACATGTCAGCCCCTCTCTTTGTCTACGCACAATGAATCAAAGTGACCCTTTCAGCTGCACGCTTTGAAGCGACAGCGGGTGTGAGCTGCGCAACGAGTCTGGGCATTGCATGCATCAGGTCAAGACTTGGGCATTCATTTTCCCCGCAACGCTGTTCTCGCTGCCTTGCCATGCCGAAGGCACAGGAGCTGTTCATGTCCTTACAAGTCACATCAGGCCAGGAGCAATCTGCTCTGACTTGCAGGAAGGTGCTTTCAATTGGAACTGCGGTGATTGAGAAGAATCTCGACGCGTTGGGCACGCTCGTGCTAGCTTTAGTGGGACATATATCTTGGGTAAGGAGGCCGCAGGAGCATCAATCAAGGGAAATGGAAGCTTCGCATGTCCAGAGGGTGCTGTGGGCAGGGCTAGGGACCTCCAAATGCTCCAGGGCGCCAGTCCACATAGTCTCAAGGTGGTACCCGCCAGGCACCTCGCGATCGGAGAGCTTGTAAAACCAAGGCCGAAGCCACAGAGCATACAGTGGCGCCAATCTAGGCACACACCTTTTGATCCTGGCGGGTCAAGAACCCACATGAACCTTGGATCGGCGCGGGGCAGTGCTGGTGTGGGCAGTGCTGGTGTGGCCACGCTCACCGACCAAGTCAAGGCTATGAAGCAGAGCAAATAGAAAGCCAGGCAGCCAACCTTTTTGGCGGCAAAATTAATGCATTAAGAATGCAGCACCAACTTGAAAGCAGTCCTACGCTCAACGCAACACAGCGTAGACTTATGGTTGGTTCCGGCTCTGGGTTGCAGAGTGCATTTCTTAAAGGGCACAAGTGAGTTTAAAAGTGTCATTGTGGTAGGACGATGGGCTGATTTGGATTGGGGCGTCAAGTCAGGATAAGGTTTCAGTCGGAGTCAGATTGGGTGAGAGAAAGGTAGCTCTCAAGCTTGGCTTTGACTTGGCTCAGGGCTGGCCGGCAACTCAAAAGGGGAAGGCAAAGCCGAAAAGGACCGCACAAGCCAAAGGAAGACCTCACATTCATGCCAACTACGCAGTTGTCTCAATTTGGATCCTGCCGAATCTCTTTAATTCGGGTGTGACTTCATAAATTCATAAAGCGAAAACCCTGGCTCCGCAGCCTTGAGCCAGGCCCCTCCCACAAAACGCCTCCACCAGGCGCCAGAGTTGGCCGCTGACCTTCTGCCGGCGCCGGACCATCGCGACGCGGTCAGGGTTCGAGAGATCCAAGCAGAGCTCGGGGCCTGCACAAACCATTCTCCCTCCCGGCCGTCCCTCCAATGTGCTTCTTTCATCTTTCTCTCTCCCTGCCGCTCACTGTCGCGCTTCACTGTCTTTCTCATTCGATATCTCAGGGACGGAAAGGTATCATCTGAAACGTCAAAGGTAATGGGGGGGCAATGTGGGCTCATTGTGAAAGGGACAGGCCAAGGGTCATGGCTTAGTGGATTTTTTGTTTTTGAATCTTTTCAGGCTGCTCGGAGTAGAAATCTGCAGAACCTACTCCCAGTGCCCTTCATGCATGATTTGGGCTACTGGTGCTGGCTTTCAAGCAAGGGCTCCTTGGCACCGGTACCGGTTGCCATGAATCAGAATGGATTTGGATCGTGCTCTACAGTAAATGCTGTCGGCACCTTGAGATGTATAAGACCAAGAGATTTGTTTCCGGAAGGAGTTTGAGTGCGGGCACTGCAGGCCAAAGGCCAAGTGGGCCGATCGAAGCAAGAATCAACCCATTACTGACAAGCACGTCAATCGACCTTGAATTGGGTCTTTGGACTTGTCTGCAACTTCGGGTGCCTCCAGCAGGAACGACCGCCACTATGCGCCAAAAGTCGCCCTCATCTTCCAAGCGCCAAGCCTGGGAGAACGAGTCAAGACTGCGATGAAGACAGAATGCATCTCAATGACTCAAGAGACAAAAAGTGTGAACAACAGGATCAACAACCTGACTGAGGCCTGCAAGCATGTCCCGCAAGCAGGTCCTGCTGCGCAAGCATCCCGTTTTTTGGCATCAAGCTCTGTATGTGTGTGTGTGTGGGCGATTTAGGTTCCGAGTGAATGCATTTTGGCCTGGCCTTGACGTCGATGCCCTCGGCAGATCCGCAAAGTGTTTGCCTGGGCACCGCTCTCTGCTCGAGTCCTTTGGCCTGTGTCAGTATGTTTTGCGTGAAACCGCAAACAAGGGGTCGCTGGAGCTGCTGTTTTTTCTTTTTTCCATTTGCGGTCTGAAAGACCTCTCTTCCAAATCCAGCTATCCATTGCCCCCCCACTAGGCCCACCCCACCCAACTCCAAGTTCTGCGCCCTTCGGCTTCGATGCGCAGGGCGCGGCCAAGGAGGCCTAGAGGGCTCTGAGGAGAGCTTTTCCAGCAGCGCCTGCAACATCTCCAGGGCACCGTGTCCAATGCCCGATCATCACTTTTGACCCGCTCTCCAACACGGAACTTGACTGAAGTCCCTCAAAAACCATCTGCTGTTCAGAGGATCTTTTGTCAGGTGAGTCAATGTTGGTGAGAAGACAATCAATGACTGTGTCCTTCTGCAATCCTTCACTGCAGTTTGTCATTTACGGTATCAATCATTGACGAAGAAGTCCCGCGTTGCCAAGTGCTGAACAGGAAACCAACCCTGCTGATGCTGGAACAGGCGCTAGCATTTCGACAAACAACAACTTGACAAGCTCGAATGTAGAGTCGTGGCGCTTTAAACCGTTCCAGAAGCGCAGAATGAAGTGGGTGCCCTAATTGTACACCATGTGGGAATCCAAAACGGGCATCCTCTTCAGATCTTTCAAAAACGGAAACCCTCATGTTTCCATAGCCCAGAGGTCTGAGGCCAGTGGTTTGGGGTGCTTTGTAGGTAGGGCAAACCTGGGCCGCCATTTTGCGCCTGCAGGAGCGGCCCACTACAAATGCCCCACCGCAGCTGCAGCGCGTCACGGGCGGAGGTGTGCGACTGCACCCGGCACCCACTGTGCCACCTGGCACTGGGCGCATTGGGCGCATTGGGCGCATTGGGCATGGTGCGGCGGTCTGGGTTTTTTGGCCTGGTTGGCAGGGTCGCGTGGGCTGTTCTCGTTGCTTTGGTTGATTCATTTGCTTTGATTGCCTTGGCTGGATCGTTCGGTCAGTGAATGCGCTCTTGTGGCTTGAGACCATGATCCTTCGTGCAAAACCAATAAAAATGTATGACCATCAATTTGCGCTGGAATTTTGCAAAATCTCAATTTTTCGGGGAAGTAGCAGCCTTCGTAGCCTAGGTACCTTGCCCGTCGCCTGGGCAGTGGGCCCAAACCTTCTGCAGCATGCACAGAGCTGGCGGGTCAAAGCTCTCCAGGTCTGCCCGGATGAAGGGATACCTGACCACAGCACAGGGGGACATCCCTTTGGTCACAAGAGGCGAAAATAAAGTAGCATCGCAGGCCAAAGGCCTGGAGTAGAGTAAAACATGCAGCGGCTTGAGAATATGCTATGGGAACATGCGCATACCAGTTGGAGCTAGTTGGAGCCTCTTTCTCGAGTTGATTATAAAGAATTAGCTCTTGGCAATACCTCTTCTGGGCACAAATGGTCATCGTGGGCTTGCACCTGCATTGAGTGGAATGTTCTTTGTATCAAATGTGTCAACATCAGCATCGTCCACTGCTTTCAAATCTTCAAAAACAAAGGAATAAGCTCCATGACCGAATTGAAGATGCCCACATAGCTGCTGGAAATGAAGCCATCTCTTGGTTGAGAAGGCTACACAAAATATCTGAGACCAAAAACGATTAGCAGCAAGCATCTCGCACTGCAATGGCTAGTTGCCTTGCCTTGGCTGCCGTTTCAACCCA